CTTGTATTTTATCATAACTTTATTATTTGTAATTGTTTGTGTGATCGGGTTATGATGTATAGTGTCCAACATTCAATAATTAAAATACATGCCAAATTTCATTGATAACTTTTAGTACATAACGCTTAGAGGGAAAATTTTGACCTCATAAGGGTCTACATTACCTCGTTACAAAAGGTAGTTTTTGGCATTACAAAAGCCCTTTGAATAGTGTAATCACATAGTCGCAGGGTCGACCTACATACAAGGAGTAGCACCAACGCGTACTCATAAAATCCTACTACCAAGACGGGAGAATAGCAACACGTTCTAATCACTACGACCCTTCTTTGACGGAGGCTGCGATGATGTCGATGCGCCCTGTAGTTCCGCCAATTTGCGTTCGGCTGCAACCATTCTCTCTTCGAGTGCCATGTATCTTTCCCGATACTCTCTTGTTTCTGCTTGAGCCGCGAGAAGGTCTCTAATGATTTGGTCTCGATGGTGGGAGTCTCGTTCCAGGTTTCTGGTGCGATCCGTAGTAGACTGTACAATGGCACTTAACTCCCGGACCTGATCTGTCGTTGTCCTACCACGATCATCCATTCTTGTCATTCGTTGTATCGTGACGGGGAGAGCCCTATCAGCCGGTCCACCATGAGTGAGATCATAGTAACCTCGTTGGTAGCCATATGGTGACCGTTGGCGTTGTTGTCGGCTCCATCTTTCGATCATTGTTACCCAAGGGGGTTCAGGTCCATTGTAACCAAAACGGTGCGCGGGTACCCTCGCGATGTAGGGAGGGTTGAATACTTCTGGTGGTTCCTCCGCTTCGTTCCCAACCATGACTACCTCATCACCTTCCTCTTCTTCCTCTTCTTCCTCTTCTTCCTCTTCTTCTTGGTTGTCTTCCTCTTCTTCCTCTTCTTCTTCTTGTTCGTCTTCCTCCTCGGGCTCCTCCTCGGGATCCTCTTCGGGATCTTCCTCGGGTTCCTCTTCGGGATTCTCCTCGGGCTCATCTTCAATCCATCCCGCGTTTCCCTGATTGGGAAAGTAGGGGTCCCCGGGTATGTGAAATCCTGCCATGTCGTCTGCACGAGAAACGGGGTTAAGAAGTATGTATCGGAAAATAATAATTTGGCGCTATAGAAACGTACAAATACTCCTATAGTATTTTTAAATGTTTATATTTGGTTCTTAGCGTGTTCTTTATGGAGTGTTATTAGGTTTTCAGATTTGTCGCTCATTACGACTATTCCTTAATGTGCGTAAGTCACTTCTTGGACGGATATAGTTGATCAGGCTATATCCTTCCCAGAACTGATTACACATGCTAAGGCGTATTAATAATGTTCGACTCCTCCTCTTTCAATTTATGTTCTCCTAAGTTATGACACCATGCTAGTATAGAATGCATGCAAGTATACTTTAAAACAAGAAATTATTTGTTTTCTAAAAGTACAACTCTTTAAATCACTTTAAGAATCAGAGACTTTTAGTCCCAAATGTGTTTATAGTTTGTATATCTTATGTGGTTGATATACTGAATTCACTATAAACCATGCTCTGATACCAATCTGTCACACCCCCAAACCAAGGATGGCGGAAACGTCCGGGGGTGGAGGACTTCATGTATAGCATCATAACCACAATTTCAATAGTAATTCAAGCAAACACAACCAACATATATATAATTGAAAAGTTACATCACTTGCATGAATTACATGTTTCAAAATCAATTACAATATGTTGTCAAAATATGAAAAGTTTGACGCCTCAACGTCCCATCCTCAAAAGCACTTGGTAACCGATTAATGTTTTCCTGTGAATACAAGTTGTTTGAAAAGTGTCAACACAAGGGTTGGTGAGTTCATAAGCTTTTATTAATAATCTTATTAGAAGTCTTTCACATGTAAATGTCGCGTTGTTTCAGAAAAATCCGATATTTTCCTTGAAATCCGAAAAATGTAGCCTTACAACCAAAGACTAGAATGTATGAAAAGTCATCGTTTCTTAGTAGGAATGTTGTGAGTTTAAAATGAATGGAAAGTAAATTTATTTTATCAACCTAAAACCTACTTTGGTTTTTATGCAACCCCGTAAACTTTATGAATTGTTGTCTCCCTAAGTGAGTCGCTATAATCATACTGTGACTATGTGAACCTGCCACAACGTTTCTCAGGCGTCGCGAAAATGAAATGACATTTGTCACCCGTAGACCTGCAGGTCCCACTGTAGCTAGCAGCAAGGTGTGGGGTGTCAAACCCAATATAGATCTATATACAAGTATCACGTTCTCCCTCAAGGAGATTCTGATTATAACTACCAGGAATTATATCCCGCACTCGGACGTACGGGGAGAGAGAGAGAGAGTCTCACAACATAGGTTAACAAGTTTACTTGAAATGTGTGTGAATATAAATCTTTCTTGTATGAATGTACCCTTTTTGTACGAGTGCGTTGAGTGATGTATCATAAACTATACCTATTATAGTTTATCTAAAATGTATGTAATATGTATGAATTCTTTTATGGAAATGTATTAGTATTGTGAATTTATCAAACTATACTTTTATAGTCTAATAATACGTGTTCCAAAATGAATGAATAATATTTAATATTTAATATGAATGTCTTAATTCCAGTTCATAATGATAAACTAACATGGAAACACATTCAAATATTAGAACTTATGATTATACACTTTGCTCAACATAATACAAAGTGTTATGATATTTACATGCTGTTGGCTAACTTTAGCCATTCTGCCCTGTATTTGGAAAAATCATAGAAAAATCATACGAAGTCGAAAACTAGATCCGTAAATTCTGAGAGTTCACAAAATGTGTCTAGTTTGCTCATAAATTTTATCTCAATTTATAATGACCTCTAACTTGGGTGAAAAAGTCCAAAATCACAGACTGGTCCGGATTGTTGTTTGAAATGATAGGCAGTTTTGTAAAAATCACCATAAATTGTAGAAAAATCGTATGGAGATGTGCAAGTAGCCATTTTAAAGCTAAAAACTTGAACTATTTGCACCTTGTACAGTTTTGAAAACAAAAATGTTAAGATGCCCAAAACAGTCCGTGAATGGAGTTGAACTTTTCTGATGAAGGCTGTTAGAAAACTTTTGATAGGTTCTTAGTGTTTTAACTTGTATTCACCCCCTGAAAACTTGAGAAATCATGAAAATGTAGGGGTATGAACTCACCTTGAGTGATTTCAGTAGATGATTGTTGAAGAATGGAAGTGTTTAATTCAAGAACACTTGGAGATGCCTTGAAGGTTTTCGAGAATCTAACATCATAGTTAGGGAGTTTGTGTAAGCAACCAAAGATTTGAGTAGAATGAAGTGAAATAATAATAGGGAGGATGAATTTTTACTTACTAAGTGTGGAAGAACACTTGAACCAGCCTTGGATCTCGAAAATTTGTGAAAGAGTTTGAGAGAAAAGTGGATGTTTGTTACTTAGTGGAATGAGGAAATGAGAGAAAATGAGGAGGAGGTGATTGTTCCAGCTCAAAAACGTGGGAGTGAGTGAAATTTGAGTGTAAGGGAACATTGAAGTGACATAGGTAAGGTGGGGAGGTATGGCTGGTCATAGAGTGGGTGTGGGGTGGTTGCTTGTGACTTTGATTTTTTTTTTTTTTTTAACTTGCAAGGCACAATGGAATATATTACTCCTATAAAGGAAATTGACTCAATCAAGGACGATTTCACAATTAAAGTTCGGATCATACGTCTTTGGACTCAAAAGTCAAGAACAATGTCTTATAATTGTCTATATCCCATTTTTAGTAATTTATTCTCAAAGAACAATGCTATAATCTGTAATTTATCATCTTTTAGTTTAATTTTCTAAATATATGTGTGGTTGTCTATGTGTGTGTATCTCTTTAAAAATTCTGCAATTTCATCATTTTATGACCCCCATTTGCGAAGTTGAGTATTTATTTCCAAAAATGCGAAACTCCAGGGACAATATTTGAAATCTTCTGTTTTCTTCCCCAATTCGCATTCTACTGTGAAATACTTCGCATCTTCATTCTTACACCCTTCGCATCCCTTCGCATTAATCACCTTCGCATTTTAACCTAATTAATCAAATGCGATTCACAAAATTTTTCATTCCAGATGCGAACACAGTTTAGTTCTTGAACTCTAAACTTGCGAAATCAAAATTCATATGTTGAACCCATATGCGAATATTAACCCAATTGACTTCAAATTGATTCATAGATGCGAACACTCGATTGTTTTACTTTCGCAAAATGAGCATCAACAACTCCACAATCGAGTTTTTAAATTCTTGCAAACAACAATTTCATAGTCCTTGACTTCGCGTTTTTCTTCACGAATCATCCCTCAATCATCAATCCAATTGCGAATCAAAACTCATATGTTCTTGCTTTATCGATTCATCGACTACACTCATACAAATGCGAACAATACTCAATTTCAAAATCGATTGAAACTTATAGCAAAGCTAAATCCAACTTCGCATTCAAAGCAGTGTTATTGATTGCATTCATGAAATACTAACAAGATAATATATTATAATACAAATATACATATTTTAGGTGGTGAAATCGTAACAGCCTAACAATTTGGTATGCAACTTTATTAAATCAATAAAAAAAGTTATGCAAATTGGAAAAATAAATAAAAATATATCTTTTGTTGTTTTAATTAAGGAAATAAATATTTTATATGAATACTCACCAGGAAAAAAACGCATATTATACATTCCCGATGAGTATGCAACATGGTTTTCATCAGTTTAATTCATTGATTAGTACGAAGGCTTAGGAAATTTTTAACACAAACTTTTCTCCTGTGATGTTTTCCCATTAACATAGCAAGTTATACAATACGAACATAACACTAACCCTAATACACAAGGTTTAATAGAGTTGAACGGCTTGACTTGATGACTTGACTTGACTCAAGATTGACGATTGTCACACGGTTCCACATTACTCACACTTCTCTTCTCTCAAAACACCATTCTGATTCAATGGAGGAAAATCAAGCTTTTTCCAAAAGTCAATGTACACTATAATGGTACTTTTGTGCCTAATTTGTTAGTGTATTTTGCTCCACAAGTACTACGTCTCAATGAAGATGCAAACGAGTTAGGTTTCTCCGATTTCATCAAATATGTTGAGAAGCTTATCGATTTTCAATGCAAGCATGTGTATTATTGTATACCTGAAGTGAGATTGAGTGAGGGGCTCCAAACACTACAAAATGAATGTGACTACTCTAAGTTTCTTGAGGTTTCAAATGCTAACAGACATGTGGATGTGTATATTGACCATGATAATGAACCGTTATTTGAGTGGATTCAGAAAGAAGAACCAGACGATGAAGACCTTGTGTATTCAGAAGAAGATGTCGACTCTATTTTGGCATATGATGAGAACTGTAAACATGAAGAGGATGAATATGTTACATCAAGCAAAATAATCTTCAAAAGAACCTATAATGATAAGTTTTTGAACAAGTTATGTCCAGTAGTTATTGAAGATGAAGATGAAAAAGGCAATCAACTTTCAGTTGTCTACCCTAGGCATGATGCTACTCAGGAATGGAGGAAGATGAAGCTTGAACTAGGTATGAGATTCTCTTCTCCTGCTGAACTTAAGTCATCTCTCAGTAACTATGCAGTTGCACATGGATATGACTTGTATTATGAGAAGAATGACAAGGATAGGTTGCTTGTAAAGTGTTGTAAAGGAAAACGACCACAATGCCCTTTTAGACTATAGCCCTTCCTAGATGAAAGATGAACAAACATTTCAAATAAAGTCTCTTAGAGAAGACCATGGTTGTTCAAGGGCATTCAAACTTGGTTCAATTGCTACCTACAAGTGGATAAGGAAACAATTTGTCAATGATATTTTGGAGTCACCTAAAATGAGTCTGAGGAAGATGAAAGCTATGGTATCCAAGTTATTCAACATAAATGTTAGTGTTGGACAATGTAGGAATGCAAAAAGATTTGCAGTGTGAAATCGAGGGTGATTTGAAGGATCATTATTCCAAGCTGTGGGATTATGGAGCTGAAAGTAAAAGGGCTAACCCAAGATCTCATGTAGAAGTGTATGTGCATCCCCAAAATAATTCTATTGTGGTGTTTGAAAGGTTTTATGTGAGTTTTAAAGGAGTTGTTGATCGATGGTTAGATGGGTGTAGGAAGATTATTGGGATAGATGGATGTTTTCTGAAGGGCATCTGTAAAGGAGAGCTCCTCTCAGCAGTAGGTAGGGATGGAAACAATAACATTTACCCAATATCCTGGGAAGTAGTAAATGTTGAGAACAAGAATACTTGGAAGTGGTTCTTGGACAATATAACGGAAGACATACATGAAGGGGGAAATGGTAATGGAATCACATTAATGTCAGATGGACACAAGGTATATATATACACTACTTTTATTTTACAGAAATTACCTTTTACATAAACTAACATTCCAAATCAATGCAGGGTATAATGGAGGTTGTGAAAGAAAGATGTCCAAAAATTAAGCATAGGTTGTGTGCTAGGCACATCCTTGCTAACTTCCATAAAAAGTTTAAGGGTGAGTGCTACATTAAACCTTATTGGAGGGCTGTAAAGGCAACTACAATTCCAAGATTTGAACTTGCAATGGAAGAAATCAAGAGTTTTGATGTAGGGGCATATGATCACTATGTTGGTCAAGGGCTTTTTTTTAAGGTTGGAATGGGATGTGATGCAATGGAAAATGGTGTGTCTGAGAGCTTCAATGTTGCTATTGAAGAAGCTAGAAAGAAGCCATTGATCACTATGTTGGAGGACATAAGGGTATTTGTGATGGAGAGATTGTACATGCAGAAAGGGAAAGGATTGGGCTGGGATTTGGCAATTTGTCCAACTATCAGAAGGAAACTTGGTAAACTAAAGAAGTTGAGAATGTTAGTTGTTACAAACACTTTTACTTACTTTTTGTACATGCTAGTGCTAACCAACTTTTTGAATTGACAGATTTTGGGCATCATATGTTAGTGGATACAAGCAGTTGGAAGTTGTGCAATGTAATGAAAGGTATGGTGTTGACTTGGAGAAGAGAGAATGTGGATGCAGAGGTTGGCAATTGACAGGAATTCCTTGTGTACATGCCATATGTGCCATATCTTCCTTGAATCTTGATCCAGAGGAATTTGTTGCAGAGTGGTTTACTAAATCTGCATTTCTTAGGGCCTATGAGTACACCATAAATCCCCTGAATGATAGTACCTTGTGGCCCCACATGCCTGATTTTCACCAGATACTACCTCTTATTAGGAGGAGGTTACCTGGTAGGCCATGTGTGAAAAGAAAAAGAGACCAAGCAGAAAATGAACTCAGTGGGAACACAAGGCATTGAAGAGAAATGTTATCAAGATTATGAAAGAAATTATGATTTAAGTGATCGAAAAGTAAGAAAACGAAGAGTAAATATTAATCAGATCTTATATTGATAAAGACTGATTACAAGACTTAAGCAGAAAGGATATTTGAGTTCCAAAGTTATCCTCTACTTCTATCCTCAGTCCCTATTTATAGGGAACCTGAGTGTACAAAAAGTATACTAAGTCTATTACAATATGCTTCGCATAAAACTGACTTAGTAAAATAACTAAAAATGTGAAACTAAACAAACACACAATTTGACTTTTACAATTTAACCTCTACAATCTCCCCCTTTGTAAACAGTCGAAGCTATTCAGTCCATAAGCCTTTGAATAGCTGAGTGAATTGTCTTTCGCACTTCTCCATACCTAGGAAATCACCTTCTTGAGCTACTTCTTGTCTCCTTCATTATTATTCTTGCAGTTGTTCATATGAACAATAAAGTGCGTATATTGCGAAGAAGTATATCTTTCAACCTCTGAGACCTTAAACAAAAATTTATTGGGCTTTCCCTTCGTATCTCTTCCCGAAAACATCATAGCGAAAGGTTTCAGGCATATTTCCCCAACAACATAATTTGATAATGCTGACTGTGTTAAGGTTTCTTCCCAAGGGACGTTCACTTTCCTTCCCAAAGTAGTTGCCAATTCTACATCAGTTAGAGCCAAACAATCGAAGTAATTGATGATATACATCTTGACATGTGCGAACCCGATCTTAAACACTTCAGTCTCAGATCCTTTAAGCTTATTCTCTTCCATATGTTTCAAAATGTGAGCCACTTGAATCAAATCATTGCAAGTCATCAGTGGGAAGTCAGCTATTGTGAAGTCATACTGATTGTTATCAGCTCGAATAACAAAGTAACAAAAATTCTGAAGCATGTCTTCAAACTTCGTATCTTTATGGATCGTTAACACCTTTTTGATCTTCATTGAAGACCATACTTCATCTGGATTCTTCCCCAATACAGCATGAAATCTGATTTTCATGTGTATGTAGTCAACAGGATTATCAAACTTCTCACTAATCTTGAATTGAGTTGTAATGAATAGCATTTCGTTAATCGGAAAATCTAACTGATAATTGTCTGAATTCGCAATATCATAACTTCTCTTGGCTTCTTCTTGAATTCATACATTTCCCTTCCCACAATTTTTGACTCTATAGTTTCATAAGAGTACAGCTTCGCAGGATCTCCTTTGTTCATTGTAGGAGGATCACTTGCCCTTTGCCTCATAATACTTTGGACTTGTCTCATTCTTTCCAACCCAGCCTCTACTTCAGCTTTCTTCTCCTCCTTTGTTTTTTCGTACAAAATTCCTTTTCCTCTTCCCACAATATCAGATTGAGGTTTCGTACTTGAACTTCCTTCTTTTGCCCCAATCGATATTCCTTTGGCAATTGGTCTTGTGGTTATTGTTGTTGAGGAAATTGGCATCGTAAGTATTGGAAGAGTAGATTTGAGCTAAGTGGATATTACTTTTCCCACGGTCTTCGCATCATCCTCTTTACTTAAATTTTTCTCTCCCCCTTGCACCCCTGTGAAAGCAAGTGGGGCACTCGTTGGTAGTAAAGTGGAGAAGTTCGCAATCGGAGCCAGTGCCTTCTAAATTGCTTGTTCCAAAGTATTTACTTTGAGAGTCAAGAATTCAGGAGTAAGTATAGATAAAGATGAAGATTGCGAAATCAAGGCCTTTAACTCAGTCACCATTTGAATCAACTTATCAAACTTCGCCATATCTTCTTTATGATTCGCATCAATGATAGGAGCAGCAATAATTTTGTTGATGTCTTAGACAACTACATCAACCCTCTTCTGAACTTCAATCTGTTGAGAATGAATATCTTGAAGCTCCTTCGCAAGTTCTATCTTTAACTCTTCAAGCTTGAAGTTTACATCCTCCCGAACTTTCTTTACATCCTGCACAAACAGAACATGGCATTCTTTTGCAACAGATTGTAAATCTTTTACGACTCCATTGAATGAACTTCCTTTAGCTGTAATGCGAAGCTCATTATTTTTATCTGTCTGATCAACTTTATCCAATATTCGCTTCTCAGCAGCCTTAAGCATAACATCAACCTCCATTGCTGAGATAGATGATATTATGCCAAAATCAGCTTGTGACTGAATAATGGCATTCAACTTATGATTCAGGATTTTGAACTGCTTTTCTGTCATAAGCATATGATCAGGTATATCCTCCTCCTCTGAATCAAAGTGAATATCTTCAAATACTCCTCTAAAAGTTCCTCCTTCGGTTTCATTATCAGACATGGGCTGCGAAGGTTGAGGAGTTTCAGGTGATTGTGAAGGAAATAGGGTTGTAAATGGGTTTTGTATAGGATGATAAAAAATGGATGAGGTTGTGGATAGTGTAGTAGTTGAAAATGATACAAGTAGTAAAGAACTGGGTAAGGTGACTGGTAGGATAATTGGCAAAGTGGTTTCAACACTTGTGATATGTGCCCCCGTATCAAATACGTTAACAACCGTATCGAAAATATGTATCTCCTCATAAACTGATTTGGTAGTGACTATTTCAAGTGGTTTTGAAGAAATTTGCGAAACTTGAATATTTGACACAGGTGGAACAGAAATGATTACCGGTGAAGAAATTAGTGGAGTGTCTGGAACCACCTCTTCATCTGAAGACTCATTGCGAATTATCAGCTTTCGCTTTTTCAACAATGTTTCTTGCATTTGTTTCGCAACATCTTGAGCACGTTGCCTCTTAGATCCTGGAGAGACAGGAGTTGGAATATCGCGAACTGTCACCCCCTTACTGCTCACTTCAGTCTTGCGAATCTTTTTCAATACCCCTGATTTTGAGGGTATTGTTTCCTTCTTCGATTTTGGCGAAGTTTCCTCTGTCTGAACCTCCTCTTCTTGACCCTGTTTTGAAGATTGAGCAGTTGCATCATTCTTGGTAGCCTTCTTCTTCTTTGGGATTTTGGCAGCAACTTCTAACAAAATTCCAGTCTCCATAGCTAGATCGAAAGTCTTCATGTAACGTATCAACACCTTGTGAGTGGATGATACTTTGTGAAGCATCGCATCCAGAATGCGAGCAACATGAGTAAAAATATTTTCATCATCCTTCACTTCCTTAGGAAATTGATATAATGAAAATTCAGCCACATCAGCACCCTCTGGAACTTGAATTCCCTCTTTTTCATATACCTTTTCCAGAATAAGGTTCCAATACCTTGCACATGAAATTCCTTTTTCCGAATTCGTCTTTTCCAAACTCTTAACAAACTCCTTCCATAACTGAGTTGCATAGTCCACACTAATATCATAGTATAAGCCCATTACCATGGCATAAACTTCCATACACTCCCTATC